CCTATAACAACAGTTTCTAAGCAAGTATCAGAATGTCTCCATACGAGGTTTTGTATGGGAGAAGGTGTAGGACACCTTTAAATTGGGCTGAGACAGGAGAAAGGAAGACAATTGGTGCTAATCTGGTTGATGATGCTACAGAAAAGATCCGATTGATCAGAGATAGATTGAGGGCAATGCAGGACAGACAGAAGAAATATTATGATGCAAAGCATTGACCAGTTGAGTTTGATGTGGGAGAGTTTGTGTTCCTTAAAGTCAGTCCAATGAATGGAGTAAAAAGATTTGGCAAAGTGGAAAAGCTGAGTCCAAGATTTGTAGGTCCTTTTGAGATTTCAGAAAGAATTGGAAAGGTGGCTTATAGGTTGATTCTACCAGCACACATGAGTGGAGTGCATAATGTGTTTCATATTTCCTCCTTAAGGAAATATATTTCAGATGAGGCTCAGAGGATTAGTACTGAAGTGGTAGATATTCAGCCAGATTTGACTTTTGTGAATGAACTAGAGAAAATTCTTGACTATGAGGTTAAGTAGTTGAGGAGCAGAGCGATTCCTTTTGTTAAGGTGCTTTGGAAGCACAGTTCAGAGAAGGATGTCACCTGGGATAAAAAGTCAGAAATGAGGGAGAACTACCCTCATTTGTTTGGCTAAGGTATAGCTTTACTGTTAAGTTTTTCTTTTAAATTTCGAGGACGAAATTTTTATTAGGAGGGGAGAATTGTAAAACCCGAAAAAGACGTTAATAGGTCTTCGCACGCATTTCAAAGCGTCGCGACGAGATTTAAGTGAAATTTTCAAGGTTAGCAGAACGTAACGAAAATAATTTTAGAAAATCCCTTGCGAAACTCTGATCGTTTTGGTATATAGAACTTATACCCAATTTTGCCTAAAAATGGAATTAAAAATGTTTAAAGTCTCTAAATACCTATTATACCCTTCTCTATTTCCTTATGTCGAATTTGCTTAAGTGAGGGTAGTATGGTCATCTAGCAAACCCAATTTCCGAACCCTCCTCCCCTTCATTTCATGAGATCGGCCGAACGAGAGGGGTGGAACCAAGAGGGGTGGACGGCGGGCTTCGGCGAGAATCTCTCTGGCGACGATCTTCCGGCAAAAGTTTTAGGTCAAATCGAAGAGGACGACGAGAGAAACACTCCGGTATGATTATTTTCAAACGAATCCTTTTAAATCTCTAGATTTTTTAGAATGAAATTTCTAAGGTTTTTCCAAAACCTAATTTTCTTTCAAAATTTTTTTAAGAAATTATTAAGGAACGATTAGAAGATCGTTTTAGCAATAAAAATGAATAGATTTAAGGGAATTTTGGAGAAAGAAAAATTAGGGTTTTTCTTAGATTTTGAATTTTGAGAAATCCCCTTTACAAATATTGTTCCTAAAGTTATTAGAAATATTTTTAAAATATGAAATTTGATTTTTAGAAATTTTTTTTTATAATTTACATAATTATTTTAATCCGAAAATTAACATATATTTATAATTATATGTTAAGGATTTATTTTAGAGCAATATTCTAGTGAAATAGAAGATTTATGAATTTCTGAAATTTAAGTATTTATTAAATTCGAAAATTAAGGTTTATTTAATTAAAAATTCATTAAGTATTTTAAGAAATAGTTAAGGGGAAATGAGAGATTGAAACTTAAGATTTAGGTTATTCAAAATATATGACGTCGTTTTTGTAAATTTCTTAGGTAGTGATCGTCGAAATTTAAGGTGAAAGAATTTGGTCGAAGCGACGTGTCGTACTTGAACTGAGGTAGGTATTCATACCCCATTTAATTTTATAACTGTTTAATTTTATTTATGCTTAGAATGCAATTTTATGTATTTATTTTACTGTCAATTATTTTATTTACTGTCAAATGTTTTGATATTCATGATTTAAAAAATAAATAAATAAAAATACCCTATAGTTTCATGCATTATTTGAGAAGCAATTAAGGTATATGAATAAATGAAATAAATTTGAAAGAAAATTGAGCATGATTCAAAGATTTAAAAGCAATAACAATTTCATGTTGCATGTTGATCCGGAAGTGCCAAAAAAATGGTAAAGGAGCTCTTTCGAGCATTGGTAAAAGAGACTCATATGAGCCATGGTAAAGGATGGTTCTTATGAACCAATGGTAAAGGAAATGGCCAAAAATTTGACTGCGTACTTGATCAGTACGAATAAGGGTACTTCCAGGACGGGTGATATATTTAGCATAATCATTTTTGCACTTTGCATTGCATATGAATAAGGTGAAAGAAATGAATGAAAGAAATCAAATGTTAAAGAAAGGAAATGCAAGAAAAATTGAAAAGTTTAAGAATTTTGACTTGCAAGATGATATGATTTGAATTAGTTCCAATTGTAAAAGTTTTATTTTATGCATCTTATGAAATTAATTGAGATATGAACTACCTGCTGAGCGTTGGCTCATTCCTCGTTTGAAAATGTTTTTCAGGAGAGAAGTGATGGCTGCACGACGACCGTACACGTATCGTCGTAGGGGACCTCAGGAAGAAAGGTTCTATTTTATGTTTTAAGTTTGAGTCTTTGATTTTGTTTCTGTAGTTCGTGAGTTTGAAGTTTATGTAATGGTGAGAGCTTATGTAATGTAATTGATGTTTAAAAAGTTTTTAGTAGTTGTGAGATAATTGAACAGTCTGAAACATTTCAGTTTCATGTCTTTTAGTGGCTCTTTCTTTTAATATTGGATGACATTTATGTACTGTTGTTAAATTTATAATGACTTTGATTATGCTTTATATACTCTTCCGTACGATCGTCTGTTCCCGCCCCGTTATCGACGGGCTAGCCGGGCCTGGTCGTGACAAGTATTGATATGTCAAGGGGCCCACCTTGTTGGGCCCAGGGGAGTTAATATTCACTATGTAAGGAGGAGGAATCAAGGGGGAGTTGTTTGGGAAAGTCTGAATTAAAATTGGGAGGGAATTATTTATGAAAAGGAAACTGATTTGAAGTTAGATTAGGGAGGAAATTAGGAAAGATTTATTGAAGGAAAGAGGGATAATTTGAATTCTGATTTGGGAGAGAATTTGGAAGGTTTTATTTAGGGAATGAGAGCTGATTTTAATTCAGATTTGGGAGGGATTTAAGAAGGTTTTATTAAGAAGATGGCTGATTTGAATTTATATCTTGGAGGAAAATGTGATGGTTTATTTAAAGGTAATTATATTATTTTATTTTCATTATGTGATTGTGTTTGCAGTAACTTTCTTAGGAGTTGTTCCTAGCGGTGTCTAGGGTTTGTGGGATAGCTGATCTGCCTCTTGAATTATAGATTACATGTATCTTTCTTTCTTATTGAAGAGATAATAAAAAATCAGCCCCTATCATCGTATTCCTGCAATTTCTACTTATTTACCTTGCTATTTTTTCTTCCAAGATATATCACCAGTCATTCGTTTGATGGACGACTTTGCATACTTTTTTTCTAAAACTTAATTACGTAATTAAAGTTATAAAAATTAGTCCTAGTTTTTTTTACATATAGAAAATTCTGTCAAATATGATTTGGTTCAATTTTGCTGGAATAATTTGTCAAAAAATCTTTTGAAGTGTTTGCAACGCTATATTCTGCTACTAGCCTGCAGTTTGAGTTCACATCATCTTGTCTGATGTTACCAGTTAGACTTGGGTAGCTTAATTCTCTAAACACGCTCACACTTTGTATCATTCTCAGCTACATTTACTACTATATTCATCCGGTTTCAACCTCTTATCTTCTCTGCTGCTTATTGTTTTCTTAAGCTTGCAAGCCTGACCTCAATCGTAACATTTTTATAACACATCTCTGCATTAACCAATTGTTTAGCTTTATTAATTATCTTTATCTATTCCACATCTATGTTTTTTTATGCTCAAGATGATAATAGTTTTACGATGACTTGCTCTACAAGTATGGTGTACTCTTTATATGCATGCAATGGTTAAAAATATTAGGGAGACCTGTCTTGCTTTCTAATGATCCCAATCATACAGGACGAGCCAAGATTCCAGTTTCAGTTTTTAGCTCCTGGCCATTCTTCATGTTGCTTTAGAGGCTGCATCATCTTAAAGTTTATCCTCTCTTTTCTAGTACGCACTCAGTCAGTAATGTATTGAAGATGTAAATAACTGTCAAATATTTCTCTCTTCATATATACATATATATACATATATATACATATACATATATATATACATATATATATATATATATATACATATATATATATAATGCAATAAGGAGCTGATCATATCAAAAGCAATGCAACTTTTCCCTTCATTTCCATTGTCATCATATTTTGAACTTTAAGCTCTCTCCCAAAATTGAAGTCATGGCTGTTAATCTTTACCTCTTATTGATTTTGTTCGTTTCTATGATTAATTTGATCTTAATCTCACTGTGGATCTTTGGAATACGAGACAGGTAGGCTATCCTACTTTTCTTTTGGAAATTTAAAGAGCATATGATGTCGGGCAGTTTTCTTTTAGGAACTTAAAAGCGTATAATGTTAGGCATATACGATGCTATACCCATGGACCATTGCAGTATTTGAACATTCAAAATCTAGCATCCAAAAAGTATTGCATGTAGATACAACATCATTTAGAATTATTTATGTTTGACAGGTCTCATATCCTTACTTCATAGCATCATATCTTAATTTCAAGTACAGTGCTAATATTCACATTCTTTTTGGTTCATTTACACCATCTGTTATTCATTCTTAGGTATATTTCAAGAAAAAGGTATTAACAAATCTTAGAACTTTGATGGCATGAAAAATAATGTCATTTTACTCTTGTTGTATGACGCCTAACTAATAATAAAATCTAAAACTAAATCAATTTAGAAAAAAACTAGTTAACTTCTAGTCCTTTTTATTGCTTTAAATCACCTATTATAATGTATTAATTAATTTTTCCCTCAGTTGTAAATTGAAAAGCATTATCTTAGGCGTCCATCTGTTATTTTTTCTCAGGATTTACCCGGTTCCAGTGGCGTAATGCAGGTAAATGCACATGCTAAGTTACTATTTGCTGTTGTATGATTTCCTTGCTGCTTGCTTGTGGCAGCATATTTTCCAACTGAACTCATGAATTGTGAAGATAATGGGAAGGGATAAGAGACTGGAGTATGCTTCATCATTTAGCAATTGCTACTTCTTTCGGCTTCTGTACTATGCAGGCACCCAGTATCCAATTATGGGGGCAATAAGGTGAGCTTATAAAGAGTGATGACTTCTCTTGAACTGCAATAATTATTGAGTTGCTTGTGCCAGGTTTAGATATGTGATTTATTGAAACCACTCTCTTTTGTAAAATCCCATCGATTTGCTTTCTCTAGATCATCATAGTTAGTTTTGATCAAACAATTTTGGGTCATCCAAAATTATTGATCGTCCTTATTAATTTGATATCCACTAAAATTGTATATCATGAAATCTTTCTAAGAAGAGTTGGAGAAAATTAGTTGGTTTTATTTCATCATTTGTGTAGAATTTATATAGTCCTATGAGAGCTTTTAATAGGAAATATACAAAATCAGAGACTAAAAATTAACCTTATAATTGATTATAATAGGATGGCCATTGGATTTGTGAGGTGGCAGTAACGACTGAAATCATGGCATAGATGAATATAATAATGCGAAGGAATTTCACTGCACGTCTTGCTCCTATTCCTCTAATCAACAACACCCCAATTATTCTTCCTTCTAATCCAGTACCCCAAGGTGATGGAGTGTGAAATATTATTGAAAAAAGAAATAAAATAAGTTCAGTAGCACTCCAACCCACTCCTCAAATTAAGTTGCCCCAAGTAAATTTGATCTTGTGACAGCTGCCCAACTTGAAGCAATTATCGATGGAGTAATTAAAGTTGTCATAGCTTTAGATTAAGCAGAGAAGTTAGTGAAAATAGGTCGATCATACTCTGACAAGTATGATCAAGTGTCTACTATAAGGACTATTCAGTGTCAAATTTTAAGAATTCAATAGCAATGACAACCTGAGGCAAATCCTACTATAATTTAAAGCAAACCTACAGTAATCCTAAAAGAGCTTTAATAAACTTTAGGAAGAGAAACGTTTATCAAAGGTGATGTGGCGTTCTTCTTTTGTTTCTCTGTTTCATGATTTTTTAGAAAGATGCCTTTACTTATTTAATATTTCCCTAGAATCATCTGCCGTGTTTTCTTAATTTCAGGATGACTTATTCACAAGATTACGAACTGTTTAGGAGGATTGATGAGCCTTCTGGAAAGGAAAAATATGTTAGTATAGCCAGATTTCCTCAAAGGCCAACAATTGACGAAATTAATGATGCATTTGAAGGAAAAATAAGGTATGCCAACTTAGGACGGCAAGAAGTTATACTTCATAAGTTATAGAAAAAAGGCACTTGCATGAAAGACTTCTCTTTCAGCACTTGGTAAAATCCTTTGATTTGACTTTAATGCAGCAGAAGCAGAGAAAAAGGGGCATCAGGACTATGGTACGAGCACAGCCTTGTATATAACTGAGAACCTACAAAGTTAAAACTTTTGGAAAAAAAAAAAATGTGAATCTTTCCTTTTTCTTAGGTCATTCTTGAGTGGAATAATGTCAGGATGAAGGGGATTATCTTACAATTATGAATGAAATCTCTGTGATGTGAAGGTGCGCTATAGTAAGTTCTGCATCGGAAATTCCTTGTCTTTTATTTACTTAATGAATCATAAGTAATTCTATTACATTACTGTTAGCCCGCGTCCCTTTTCATATGACCTGACAACGTAGGATCAATAATCTGCCATAAACGATTCTTTCATCCGCTGTGGTTAGACATTTTTGGAATGAACAGATAATGCTATATTAAGAAAATGATGCTCTAGCAAAATTCTGGCTATGAGAACGCTATTTTCTTATGCTGGAAAGAATGCTGATGTAGCGGTGGTGTGGGGGGGGGGTAATCCTGATTACATGGGACAATGTGGGTGTGCAAGTCCCCTTCAAAATTCAAGCCTTTCCTTTAGATTTTCTTCAAAGTTATTATGATTATTAAATAAAGAATTAGTTAATTAAAAAGTAATCAATTATTTTTATCTATTTCATCAACCATAATTACATTTTTATTCAACACATTTATTGGATTATTTATTAAGTTAGGCAGTGTACTATACTATTAATTAGTTAACTATATTCAATAAATTTTCATATAAGTATGATTTGTATTTAATAACTAAATTATTAATTTATTAATTACTATAGATTTATCCTATATTAAAATATTACTTATTTTTTCAATTATTAATTATTAAAATAGATAAAGTTATATTATTATTTATTATCTTCCTGATTACATGGGACAATGTGGGTGTGCAAGTCCCCTTCAAAATTCAAGCCTTTCCTTTAGATTTTCTTCAAAGTTATTATGATTATTAAATAAAGAATTAGTTAATTAAAAAGTAATCAATTATTTTTATCTATTTCATCAACCATAATTACATTTTTATTCAACACATTTATTGGATTATTTATTAAGTTAGGCAGTGTACTATACTATTAATTAGTTAACTATATTCAATAAATTTTCATATAAGTATGATTTGTATTTAATAACTAAATTATTAATTTATTAATTACTATAGATTTATCCTATATTAAAATATTACTTATTTTTTCAATTATTAATTATTAAAATAGATAAAGTTATATTATTATTTATTATCTTCCTAATTTTAGTTGATAATTTATAATTAAAATACTATCCTAACATAATGGGGTGGGATGACTATGGCACCCAAGAAGGGGGATAAATTGGACTTTTTGAAAAACTTTGTTTAGTTTGAAATTTAATGTGAAATATAAACCAGTTATACCATTTAAATTTTTACACACAATTTGAACGATACTTGAAAAATTATAACAAACTGAGTTAAACGAAACCATCACTTTCATCTTCTTCCACATCCAATGCCCTTGTTTTCTTTTTTTTCTGCATCAAGATTATTGTTACAACTTAATAAGTACTCATATTTAGAGAACTTTAAATGATAAATTATTTCATATTTCTTTCTAAGCATGCTTAACCCACTTTGCAAGTCTTTGATGTTTGCAATTTTTATTTTTAAATTTCAACATTACATATGTGTTGTAACTTGACATCATCTTGCACGTAATAACATTCAAATATCTTGCACATAATACCTGGTTTGGTGTAAGGCTATGAGTGCTGAATTTGAAGCACTGTAAACTCAAGGAACTTGGATTCTTGTCCTAGTGTCCCCACATCAGAATGTGTTAGATAACAAATGACTATTTAAAACTAAATTTAACTTTGATGGTAGTTGTTGCAGGCTAGAATATACGCGACGATAGAGTTATAATTCTACGTCTTAGCGTTGTACGGATGTTCAACTAACACATAGAGAACACAAGATTTTTTATGTGGAAAATCCTGAAAAAGGAGAATAACTACGGGGCCTAGCCCAATTGAAAATGATTCCACTAGAATGTGGGTAGAATACAGTGGGCTGACTCATCCTTGAGGGCGATCATATGACAAATGTCAACCGTATGGTTAAAGTCTAGTGATAAATAGGGGTTAGGTGAAAATGTGGCATCACTTGGTGGTTTGGAGGAAGTCTGGCATCACTTGGAAGTTCGAGTGTCAATCAGTGGTCTGACAGAACTTTGGCATCAGACGGTGCGCCGGCAGAACTCCGGCGTCAGGAGGTGGTCTAATAGAACTCCGACGTCGGGGTTCTGCCTCCACCCACTTGGTGAAATAGTGCACAGTCAGGATGATGAACTTTCATTGTTGGTGGCTATAGGGAAGGATCCCATTATGTTAATCTCCCATTGGACAAATGGCCAGAGACTCTGTAATGTTGAGATCTCTACAACAGGTAAATGGGTAATGTTGACATGTAACTGGCAATCATTGTATTTTCGTACGAACTACATTGCATCCTACGTCATCATTGGTCAGTAAAACCTCTGTCTCATGATCTTATTGCTTAATGCGCTTTCACCCAAATGCTCTTTGCAAATGCCTGAATGCACTTCTCGAAGTGTATAACTTGTCTTTGATTGAGAAAAGCATTTGAGGTATTGTCCCGTGAAGGCTCGTTTGTACAACTCTCCACCAATAATAGTGAAGTTTGTTGCCTGCCTCCGAAGTCACATTGCCGCCATCGGGTCTTCAGGAAGAACACCATTTTGTAAGAAGGATAAAATGAGATCGATCTAAGAAGCATCTCTTGACTCATCAATTGATTGTATAACCCACAAGCCTTGAACACTTAGAAAGTGGATCTCCTCGATACACTTTCTTTCGAAAACGTTATCGGTTATAGAAGTAGTCAGTTTGGAGAGAGCGTCTGCTTGTGCATTCTGCTTCTGGAGGATATGGACGATTTGATTCTTTGTTATCCTGACCAAAAGGGATTTTGCTGTTTCGATGTACTGGGTCATAAGTGGATTGTGGGTATCAAATTCCCCCTCTATCTGAGAGGCGACTAACTGAGAATCAGTGTGAACCACCAAGCCCTGCACTTCGCAATTAATTTCCAGCCTCAATCTAGCAACAAGGACGTCATAATCGGCAACGTTATTTGTTGCTGGGAACTTCAATCGAAGTTTGTATTCGAGTGTAGTTTGTCGTGGGGAAATTAACAAGATTCAAACACCGACGCCATAACTCCCAAAAGCTCCATCTATATATAAGGTCCAATACAAGGAAGAAAGAGATATAGCCAATGGTTCGTTAGAGGCAAGGTTAGTACATTCAACCACAAAGTCTGCAAACACTTGTGACTTGATGTCAAGTCTAGAAAGAAAATGAATGTCAAACTCTCCAACTTCCGCTGACTATTTGATTAATCTTCCAAATGCCTCGGACTTTAGGAGAATATTTCTCAATAGTAGATTCATATAGACCCCATCATATGTACTTGAAAATAAGGATTTAACTTTCTGGTCGAGAAGACTGATGCCAAATCTGTCTTATCCGCTAATGGGTAGCGTGCTTCCATCTCAGAAAGGACCTTGCTAATATAATAGACAAGGTGTTAAACAATATTGTCTACTCGGAAAAAGATCGAGCTTATAGCATGGGAGAAAACAACCATATACATGTACAATATTTCTCCGGGTATGGGCTTTGAAAGTAGTGGTGGTGAGGCTAGATAAGTTCAAAGCTACTCGAAAACTTTATGGCTTTCGTCTATCCACTGGAATCCAGTGTTACGGGCTCCTCTTAATATCTTGAAGAAAGGTAGGTATTTATCGCCAGAGCGAGCCAAGAAGCGAGAAAGGGCTATAATTCTTCCGTTTAAACGTTGGACTTCTCTGATACTCGTTGGGGGAACCATATCTCTTAGTTCTCTGATCTTCTCAGGATTCATCTAGATCTCGCGGTAGGTAACCATGAACCCCAGAAATTTTCTTGAGGCCACTCCGAATGCACATTTTGAAGGATTGTGACGAATGTTGCTGGATCGAAGGAGGCAGAAGCACTATTCCAGGTCAGAGATATGCTGGGATTTTTTAAGGCTTTTCACCAGCATATCATTCACATACACTTCCGTAGTATGCTCTATAAAGTCTTTAAATGCCTTATTCATGAGGCACTAATACGTTGCTCTAGCATTCTTGAGTCTGAACAGTATTAACCTGATAGAATTATTATACTTTATCAGCTTGAAAAGCTGTTGCCTCCTCGTCTGTGGGATTCATCTTTATTTGATTGTATCCATAATAGGCATTTATGAAGCTCAACATTTGGTGCCCATATGTGGCATCAATTAAATGGTCAATACGAGGGAGTGGAAAACTATCATTCGGACAAGTTTTATTGAGGCCCATATAGTGTACACACTTTTTTCAAGCTCTGTTAGCTTTCTTAACCATAACAACATTCGCTAACCTAGTGGGATAGTGCACTTCCCATATAAATCCAACTTCTAGGAGTTTTTTAACTTCTCGATCGCTTGCTGGCATTCTGGGGCAAAATTTTGTTTCTTCTGGATAATTGACTTGCACATCAGGTTTACTTTGTGGGAGTACACAATCAGTTCAGGGCTTTTTCCAGGCATTTTAGTTGGACTCCAAGTAAATACATCTTGATTTCTTCATATAAACTCTATATACTTTGTCTTATCTTCCTTCAAGATTAACGATCTGATCTACACTGTTCTTGAAGGATGCTCATCTAATAGAGAGATGCAAGCAAGATCTTCAACGAGCGAGGCCTTTTGAGGAATGTCCTCATTATGGAGATTGAAATCCTCGATACATAGGCTAATCGATGGGCGTGGTTGAGCCGGCCTAAAGTAGCAGGATTGTGTTGTTGATCACCTCGTTCTATACTGATTCTTGCTCGAGTGAGAAGTTTTAATTTGAGGTCAGAGATTGAAGCAACAATCCCAATGATCGGCTGGAGTGGCCTTCCAAAGATAGAGTTATAAGTCGTTCTGATTTCATTATAATAAACTAGATGGAGTATGTAACCTGTCTGGGGAACTCTCCCAGTATGATTGGGAGACTAATTGTTCCTTCCATTCATATAGGTCGATTGTTAAAACCATATAATGGACCTACGGTGGGCTGTAGTTTCTCTCCGGAGAGGCTCATGTTCAGAAAAATGGAGTAGAATAGGACATCTACAGAGCTTC